TCTAGCCTTATGGCAGGGGCAGGGGGCTGGGGTCTTGGACCTCAGCCCACGCGTGTCCCGTGCAAAGCCCTGCAGCGAGGGGTGGACGCCGTGGGCTGTGTGCTGGGCCTCCCTGTGTCGCTGCACCAGACGTCTCCATTCACCCGTGTCCCGGCACGTGCAATGCAGGGATTGCTCTCGCCCCGTGCCTGGATTCAGGTTTTGCCCAGGCGTGCGGGGGCCATCGTGCCACGCGCCAGGGGCGTGAGATCGCTGCCTCGGCAGAGACGGGATGGTAAAGACAGAAGCACACGCCAAGAAATAAACGCTCCCCTGGCCCAGCCGGTGCCCCCACCATGCCAGCACTGCCCCTGTGCCCCCCCAACAAGTCCCTCTCTCCTCTAAGCACCTACCCTTCCCCTGCCCCCCGAGCCAGCCTGCTTCATGGCTCTGCCCTGCAGGAAACAGCCCGGATTTAGTGCAAATTTCCTTCCATCTCCGCCTGTTACTCCAGAGTCCCTGCCCGGCTTGAGCAGTACATTGCTCTGGTTCTTCATGGACCCACTTGGCTGCATCCAGCGCTAGCGCCGGTCCTGGACCAGCCTCCGTGTCACATTTGCAGGGGTCAGGCGCCCCGGTCTCTGCGAGCCCAAAGGGAGATGCCACGGGGCCGAGGCTCAGAGAACCGGGGCACTCTCCTCTCTGCTGGGCTGCAACCAGCATCGGGCCAGCTCCGGCCTCCCCAAAACGGATCCCAAGTGACCCCATGGGTGGAGGCACCGAAAACCGGTTGCCTTTAAATCCCCATGAGAGAAACCCCAGCGCGTGCCGATCTGGCAGAAAAGGGCCCATGTCCCCTGCTCTCCTCCCCACTCCCCATGCCTTTCCAGGAGCCGGCACAAGCCGCGACGATGAGTTCCTCGGTGACGTCTGGCTTGTTTCCGTCCAGCCGGCGTTCAAATGTGGGAGCCCTAAGGGACGGGGGCCTCTCCCTCCCCCCGACTCACATAACCACAGGTCTCGCCCGCACCTTGCAAAGTAGAAATGTTCCAGCGCTTGCTTGGTATTCTTACCTTGTGCTGCTGCCATCCGGCCGCTTGTTTGTGCTCTCGCTGCCAGCACACGCTCGGCTGCTGGCTTAAAGGATTTTCCCACAATAACTACCAAATCCCTCTCCCGGCCCGTAAGCCGCGGGGCTCCTGCCTTGCCTAGGTGCGCCGTGCTCCCGGCGCGGGGTGGAGCTGTCTCACCTGCGGCGCTCTGCAGGTCTGAGGTTTTCCCTTTCCGGAGCCAGCCTGGCACTTAAAAGCCCAGCGTCCCTTTGAACCCAGTCCCAGGTTTCCCCACCCGTGCGCTCTGGTTTTGATCTCAGCAGTACTGGAGATCCTTCCTGAGACTACGTGCCTCTGCCCGAGGGGGCCTAGCTGCTCTCAGCTTCCTAGCCGGGGAGCTGTTTTCTCTCTAATGATTCAACGAGGGAGGGTTGGTTGTTCGGGAGCGGGGAGACTGTGGGATGGGGTCTGCTCCCAGATCTGCCAGCGAGCCGCCTCGGGCTACATCATCACGACTCACTTCTTCATGTTTCAGCTCCGGCATCTGCAAACCGCAGGTGAAGCTTGCCTCATTGCGGAGGAGGCTGTAGGTTGTTGCATGGGCATGTTTGCAAAGTGCTTTGGGATCCTCAAGGCACCGTGGAGGGGAAAGGGCTGGTCAGGGGAGAGCCCGAAGCAGTCTGGTTTTCACGGGCCCCAGAGCTGAGGGTGTGCAGGGGCCTAGGGGTGTCTGTCGAGCCCTTTAGGAAGATGGGAGCCTTCGACAAAATGGAAATCCAGGTCTGGGCGTGGATTTTGAACAAGAGCCTGAGCGCGGGGGCGTTCCTGCTCCGGCTTCTATTCAGGTCCTGAATGCACTAAGCCGCTGCGTGCTGCTCTGGGGAGGGCTGTGTACTACGCCGCACCCTCCGCCGTAGACACTTCGCAGCTGCGTGCCGCCTTGGTACAAAGAGGCCAATAGCCTCAGCGTGATTTCCTGTGTCTGACATCCAGACAGCCGAGCTCTGCCTCCCCAGCTGCCCCTGCGCCGGCTCCGGCGCTGCCTCTGGGCACGGCACTCACCTGGCGCCCGCTCCCCGTCTTTCCAGGCTGCGTTCACTCGCCCCCCTTCCTCTGAACTCGTCCTTCCACAGCAACGCGCACACGGCAGCACGACACGGCCCCCGGGCTCTCAACCTGCTGACCTTCTCCAGCCTCCTCTGCCTAAAGGTGTGGAGAGTCCCGGGGGACCAAATCGTGAGCCGGTACTTGTCATTCAGCTGGAAAGCATGAGCTTCCCCTCCACGTTGCCTTTGTGGGCACGGGAGGAGCAAAAATGGCTCTCTAGTCATGCAAACAAATTTCACAAATAACCTAATGACTCCTGCCGTCAACAGCAGCTCCCGCGCTCTCGCCTGGGTGCAGAAGTGCTGATTAAACCCCGCTCTATTTATACGTTTCTCAGGCTGTCTCATTTTGCTTCCTTCTCGCAGCCCCATGAAGAGGCCTGATGAAGGAAATTGGCTGCTGGCCCCAGCAAGAAACTTTTGAGATTATAGAGTGCAGATGCTGGCAAAAGAGGGCTTGCGTCGCTGCCTGGAAAATGTGCAGTGGGACTTTGAAGAGCTCTCCTTCTAATTATAGCGGCAAAGAGCAGGCCCGCTGGTCTGGGAGGGTCTTACGTGTTATGCCGTGTGTGCACGGGGGGGTCCTCGGGATACGTGCGATTGCACGTGTCTGCGTGCACGCCTGCGTGTGCCAGTCTGGAGGCAGCCTGGGTGCTGCAGGTATGCGGGACCGTGCGTGCGTGGTGCACACGAGCCCAATGGCTTCTGCCGTTTGCTCTGTTTTATAACAGGGAGGAGATGTCCTTTTCCATCAGCATGTTCCTATTGGCCACCGGGCTCCGATGTGGCCGTCTCTAGGGTAACATCTCCATCGATGCCGTCTCCGCCTGCGAAGCAGACGTGCACCAGCCGATGAGCATCAGATGCCAACCTGCAATATGCTAAGTGCCTTGACAGCAGCAGCGTGGTGTGGGGGAGGGCAACGGCCCAGCTCTGTGCCCTGAGCGCCAGGGCAGAGGCACTGCAGCACGGAGGTTTCTGATGTCTGGAAAATGCTCCCCGAAACGCAGCGCAAGCCCTGGGAGCATGGGGAGAGTGTGCACCTGAGACAGGAATCGGTGCCTCTTCCTCCGCAGTCTGGGCAGCGCGGCAAAGTGCTCCGGGCCGTGGAGTCACCGCGCCAAGGCTCTGCAGCTGGTGGCAATAAACCCGGGGGGTGGGTTTGCATGCAAGCAGGGAGCTTGCCAAAGCAAGCCCCGTCTGTGCCCCAGCATGCTGCCAGAGCCCCTCCGCATCTCCCCTGTTAGGGGAACAGCAGGAGGTCTGAGCCTGTGGGCAGAGCCAGCTCCTGGCTTGGACAGGGCTTGCATGAAGCCAGGTCCGGTGCACCTGCTGCAGCCAGGCTCTTTGAGGGGTTTCCAAGTGGGGGGCAGTGCTGCCGGGGGAAGGTGCATCCCTTAAAAAATGCCACTAAAAAACCCTGGGGAAAGGGGAGGCCTGGGGCTGGGGGAAAGGGTCCCCGAGCGCTACCAAGAGGAGACAGAGAGGGGAGAGAGGGTGCTCCAGTTCCCTGCCCTTCTCTCCCCTCCTGCCTGGCACCGGGCAGCAGACCGTTGTGCATCCATGCCATCAGCTCCCCCTGCTCCCATCTGCCTGGCCACATGGCTTGGATGTCGAGTGTGGACAAGGCAAGTTATTGAAACCAAAACCGAATCACAGGCAGAAGGCAAAGCCGTCCTGCTCCGTCTCTGCCCGCACCGCCCCTGCAGCCCTGACCGCGGTGGTGGGTCTCTGTGTGTGGCTGGCCCCACGGGTGCGCGGCGTGCAGATGCTCTTACGTGGTCCCTGCAGGTAGAAGGTCAAACCCTGAGTGCACCGGGGCCCCCACAACATCTGGGGGTGGGGGTTGCAATTGCTCAGCACCTCCCCCTGCTTTGCAAAGCACCTCGGGAGGATGAGGGCTGGAGTGTGCTGCCTTCAACGCAGGATGTTCCCCCATCCGAGCAGGATTAAGGGCTAGGGGCTGGGGAGGCAGCTTGAGAGACCAAGTGAGGTGAGGACAGGTCTAATACGGCTAAGAAGCAGGCCGAGGAGGTTGCAGGGGGAGGGGTGAACAGCAGTGCACGGGGATGCAGTAATTCAGCCAAGACCGAGCCTGTATCTGGTCCCACGTTCCTAGGAGGAGGGGGAACGTGAGCTGCAAAAGGGCCTCTGCACCGCCAGGTATCAGGCGGCTGGGATGGGAGCCGCAGTGGGATGCTCTCACTGTCCCTGGAGTCTCCTCTCCTTCCGCGTGCCCCTCCCGCCGCAGAGCCGGTGCGCCGCGCCTCAGCCCTTCTGCCATCGTGTATTCAAACCATTTTATCCCCCCCCCGGAAACGTATGAAATGCAGAGGCTGCGAGTGCTGCGGGCAGCATCCCCTTGCCGGAGCCCTGCAAAGGGAGCTCCCGGCTGCCCCTGCCAGGCCAGACGTGTTTGCCAAGTGCCGCCGTGGCTTCCTGCCCCTCATCTGCACCCAGAGCCCTCCTGGGATGCTCTTCTGAATTAGCACATCTCCACAGCACCCCAGCGACGTGGTCCCTCAATGCCCTTCGCTGTTGCACAGAGTCATTCCCCATCCAGCCAAATGCCCTGGTTAAGGGATCACACGAGACTGGTCCCCAGACCCAGGACCTTCCACCAGACCGCTTGGAAAGCCCTGCCTGAGCTCCCAGCTCCGGCAGACGGGAATATCCAGGGTCTTTCTGAGCTGGGAGACCACAGCTGCCTTGGCTTGTGGCCTTGCTACCACAAGATGGGTCTCTCTGTGACTCTAAAGCACCGCCGCGTGCCCTATTATTTAATTAACGCTACAGCAGGTGCTCCGACGGTGACCTCCAGCCCGCGGTCGGGGCCAGTCCAGACGCCCATGACATTACTGGCTTTCACCTTTATACACCGTGTTTATTGAAATAAAGCAGCAACACGCAAGCCTCAGGTCTACGGAGCCCATAAAACAAAGGGCGTTTGCTTCTCACAGGCCCGCTCTCCCTTTTCATGGGATCCAGGATGCATTTGCTCTCCCCGGTGGGTAATTTGGAGAGTCCAACCTCATGCTGGCTCCTTAACGAACAAAGGGAAGAACTTCAACTCCCAGGAAATCTCTTGAGCACGGATTAATTCTCGTGCATGGAGCACAGCTGGATTTGCAAGGTGCCATTGTCTTTTTGGCTTCTCCGGGGGTGGATTTGGCTGACGATGAAAGCAGGCACGGAAACGACAAGCCTCGGAAGCCCGTCGCATTTGTGTGATCGCTGGAGAATGCCTCCGCTCAGCGGCGGGGCAGCCGGACCGCTGAGCCCGGCGACTCGGGGAGCCCGTGCTTACAAACCCAGCTGTTGGAAGACTTGCCCTGACGGGGCGCAGCGGGGCGCTCCGGTGCCACGGACACCGTGACAGACGCTCGGGTTTCACAGGCAACGTCCTGGCTGCTCCCAGGGAGATGTTCGGCGGGGGGTGAAGACAGGGAGAGGGTTGCAGGCTGCCGACGCACTGGTCTGTACGTTCCCCTGATGTCAAGTCCCATCTAATATCCTTGACAGTGTCACGGGGCAAAGCAGTTGTGAGTCTTTGTCAGGTCCTGGCATGAGATCGTCCCCCTCCCCGGCTCCCAGGGGGATGACAGGCATTTTACAAGCACTGTCTAGCTTGCCTTTTTGCTGCTTCTACTTTCTCCTCCTAACTCAGCTTCTTGCCCTTGAGGTCCCTCTCCGAGGCTTTGCAAACCAACGCGCCCGTGTCTCTTTATCTAGAGGCAGCCGGGGCTGCCTTGATGACTGCATATTCGGTCTGCTCCCCCACCGGGCTCTTCTGGGGCAGCTGGGCCCCGCTGACGTGCAGCAACTCTGCGTAAAGGATGTTCTTGTCCTTGCCATCATTGGGCTGCAATGAAAAGGGTTGTGAGTAGGGGGTTAATACACTGCCCTTGTCCTATCCTGATCAGGGCTGTGTAGTCTGACACCCCAAGAGCTGGGAGACGGGAGAGGGGACAGTTTGCAAAGTCACCTTTGGCCCAAGCCCTTGGTTCCCCTCAGTGCAATGCATTTCTCTGCCCTCTGAGCACAAGAGCATCAGTGGGTTCATAGTTTCATATAGTTGCATAGCTGTTAGGGGCTGCCAGGGACCTTGCACATCATTGGGTCCAGTCCCGCTGCATGTGGGCAAGGCAGGTTGGATTAGATGACCTCTGGAGGTCCCTTCCAGCCCTGCTTCTCTGGTCCCCACCTCCCCTGGTCCCTGCAGGTCTAGGAAACATTGCCGCGTGGTATGACAACGAGGGTCTGCTCTAGATGCAGCCTGGGCCTGGCCCAGAAGGGGTTAATGCCCGCCGTGGGGCGATGGTTGCACACCCCGCGGCGCGGTTATAACAGACGAGAGCATGAAGGATCCAGATCAGCCGGAGCAGGAATCTGAGCTGAACGGTCACGATGCCATGGTGTTCTCCAGGAAGCCACAGGCTGGAAAGTCCCCGCAGCTCAGGGAAGTTGGTGAGGCCACGGGGCAGGGAGCCCAGCCACGATGCTATCACAACGCCCAGCTGGGAAGAGCCAGCCTGGGCCGTCTCCCCGCAGAGGGGGCAGGAGCGGGACCACGTTCCCTCCTCCTGCTTTGCTTTAGTGTCCCCCTTTCTCTTTCCCAGGCCTGGGGCACGGACGCAGCTGGCTCCCGCAAGTGCAGTGCTGGGCTAGCGGCACAGAGCGGGTCCGCAGGGCACTGCCTGCAGCCTGCAGCTAGGCTGACCACGGCCTGGGGGCAATGTCCCTGGTGCAGGTGGTATAAAACCCTCTGACTAGAGGCAACCAGAGGGGACTCTCTGTGCCAAGCAGGAGCTGCCCCCCCTCGGCACTTCTGCCACTTTCCTACCTGGTGGGGACAACTGGAGGGGTCTGATGTGGGGGCTGGAGACCTGCAGGGAGAGAGCCTGCATTAGACACGAGCAAAACCAGGTGTGCCCCCAGTAACAGAAGGGGTTTGTAGAAGAGCCAGCCAAGCATGGGGTTGGCTGGGCAGGCCATGCCCTCCTAAACTCCCATTGGCTTCACTGGCCCAGGGGAAACAGCCCCAAACCCAAGACTCTTTGGGCAATGCCAGGCTTGGCGCTGCCCAGACCTTGCCACAGCTGGGAGCAATGACAGGGGGTCTCTGCATGGGGACTGCTGCTCCCAGGGGCAGAACTGGGTCCTTGAAGGACCTCTGGGGGATGTGAAATTTGCTTTATTGAGGGGCAGTTTTGGAGGCTGGCTGCACACATGCGTGCGTGCATGCTTTCTATAAAGCCATGCTGGTCTCTTGAGGCCAGGCTGTCCTGCTCTGGTGCTGTGCCAGGCAGCGCTGTGCTCAGACCCGCCACCCTGCACCTGGGCTGGGTGCAGCGTGGTGGGAGGCTAATTGCAGCGTGGCTAATTAGCCTGGGTGCAGCAGGGCACAAAGGTGCCTATTCTGCTGCTGGCGTAGGAGGCAGCCTGGTGCGGCACAGCTAGCAAGTGACACGGGCACTGAGCACCGAGGCGACGGGCGCCGTGGAGACGGCGGCACGGAGAATTTCCCGTGGTCGGTGCAAGCTCCCGGGGCTTTGCTGCCGGTGCAATGAAAGCGGAGGCAAGACCTAATTAGCCTCTGTGAATGGAAGATGTTTTTGCAAGGGAAACATGGGCCTTGCCGGGTGGGAGCTGGGGGCTGCTGGAGCTGACGGAGAGCGGCTGGCACAGGGCTATGCCACGAGGATCCGGTGTATATAGACCTGGGGCTATGGCGGCTCAGACCTAGGGGGCAGAGGAAAGGAACAGCAGGTCAACGAGCGGTCCGACAGCCCACAAGCACCCCGTCCCGGGACCAGCCAGGGAAAACCTCCCACTCACCTCTCCTCTTCCTCAGGTAGAAGTAAATGGCGATGAGGAGCAAGAGGACGAGGACACACGCTGCTCCACCGACTGCAGAGGCCGCAGACGTGGACAGCCCTGGGGAATCATCAGGTGCTTTATATCCCCGGGGTGCAGCATTTGCAAGGCTGAGCCAGGGGAGGAAGGCACCCCACAACCCTGCCCAGCTGGAGACCGGGCCAGGCTCGGCCAGCAGAGAGAATAGCCGGGTGTGCCCACATCCCGCGATCCTCCTCCATGCCCCAGCCCGGCCCTTCTTTCTTGCACTTGCCTTGAGAAAAGCCAACGCGGCGAGCAGGGAGCGGGCGCGTGTGCTGTGGCTTAGTCACCGCCCGGGACCGGCTGCCCGCCCACAGACCTTGGGAAGTCCCTTGGTGACTTCTCGTGCTCATTGCTAGTGCAATGGGCCGTGGGCACCGGACCTGCCCCGGAGGGCGGCTGAGCCGGGGGGCTGCAGCAGGGAGCAGGGACTTGTATGGAGAGGACCCCATTAGCCTGAACTCACCACCCACAGACACCACCGTGCCTGTTCCGCGTTGGTACTCCTCATCAGGCGGTTCTTTCTTGAACTTCACGCAGTAATAGGTGCCGGCATCCTCGGGGCGGATGTCACTGATGTGGATGGAGTAGTCAGAGACAGAGCTGGGGACAGCCCTTGTGACCCGGGGGAATGACCCTATCTCTGCGTAGATGAGCTGGTGGTTGCTGCCCGAGCCTTTGAGCCACTTCACCGGCCCTGGGAGTCCACGCTTGGTCACGGTGCAGTTCAACATGAGCGTCTCCCCTGCGGATGCCTGCGCGGAGGGCCAGGGCTGCAGCACCTGGAAATCCTGGCCCCCGCCACCTGGGAGCAGCAACAGCATGCAAGGACCAGGGTTAATGAAAAGGTCTCCGTTTATGTGGGAAAAATGTCTCACTAAAGTAAAAATGACCAGAGACAGAGACAGAGCACGCGGGGCACAGGGCTGGAAGGGACGACCCAGCTCACCAAACCCCAGGTCATAGCCCAGTCCCTGCGGCTGCAGCAGGCGACTCTGAACATCATCCTTTAACTTTAGCAAGGAGCCACTTCAGTGTCTGCAGCGCGCGCAGGCAGGCGCGAGGGAGGTGGAGACGCAGACAGCCCCAAGCGCAGTCCAGGCAGGCCTCTGCTACACCGGGCTGAGCGATGACCTCCCTTCTCCACCTGCGCCATCTGCTTCCGTGCAGCCCTTTGCCCCAGCCTGCTCCTCTCTCGGGCAGAAAGCCAACGCCCCATGCACCTCCTGCTCCCTTTCCCCTGCTTGACTGCACGCAGAGTCCGCTGGGGTCCACCCTAGACCCTGGCTCCTGCCCCTCACCCAGAGCTGTCTTCCTGCCTGGAGCTCAGACCTCCCCCCAACTGATCCTGACCCTGATCTTCCTGAAATCCTCCTCTTCTTGGCTTCCAGCACCGTCTCCCCGTCCCCTCCATGGCTCCTTCAGCCCGGCCCTTGAAAGGTCTTCCTTCCTCCCCCCCACCCTTTCCTCTGGGTCCCCTGGGGCTCCTGTCTCCTCTCCCTCTGCACCTTGTCTCTGGATAATCGCATCTGCAAAGAAGACATGCTGCTAGCATCTCTAGGCTGATGACTCACAGATCACTCATTTTCTCCCCCTCTGTCTCTCTCTCTTCCAGGCCTGTCTCCCTCTGTGCAGATTAGGCTTTCAGCCCGTCTCCCTGCATCTCCCCATGGGCATCCAGCTGCCGGCTCTGGCTCATGTTCCTGTTTCTGTCCTGATTCGGGACACCTGTTTTGGAAATGCAAAGCTCCCAGTTCCTGCCCCTGGAGGTAAAGGTCAGGCCCAAATTTGGCCCCTGGGCTGGTGTGTGAATAAAAAGCACAGGGCTGGGTCTCTGCTTGCCCTGTATCGCGGGGCCCTGGTAGCAAACTGCCTCACCCCCCGCACGTCCGCTACCCTTGTCTCCCCAGTGCTCAAGAGACCACGAGTCCAGGCTGGCGCAGCTGGGTCTGGCATCAGAGCTGGCACCGCGAGCCGACAAGCGGTGGGCAGAGGGGACGGGCGGGAGCAAACATCCAAACAGCACCGGTTTTGCCATTCATGGGCGCACGAGCAACGTGTCTGTTATAATTAGTGAGCTGTCTCCATCTGGGCCTCCGCGGTGGCGGCAATGCTAATTGGCTGGTCTAACGAACGGGGAGAAACGCCAGCCACATGTCCCTCCCGCGCTCCCCCGCCTCGCTGCTCTGCGCTCACCTGAACTTCCCAGCAGAGCCAGGCCCAGCGTGAGGCTGAAGAGCTGCATCCCCCGGGCAGGCTGGCAGCTATCTGGGTGGTGGCAGGGTCTGGCCGGGACATGACTGCTGGAAAGGAGAAGTTGCAAGAGGAAATGGAAGGGGGGAAGCACGAGATGTTAATGCTTTCGGTGCTCGCCCCCGAGCCCAGGCAGGCCTGGCTGAGAGATGCTAACGCAGGCAAGGCATCGGGGCGCGGGTGCACATGTGCGGGAGAGGGACAGGAGGAGGCTTGGACGTGGGGACCCGCACGGGCGCCCGAGCTGCAGGCTCCGCTGTGATCGCAGCGGCCGTTCTGCTCTTGTCTCTGCTGCAGCCGTGCCCAGAAGCCAGGGCAGAGACGAAGCCCCCTAGGCAAGGCGCTGGACATACGCATGGGAACGGCCTGTCTGCCTCCGGGCTGGCTGGGATGGACAATGGGCCCATCTGGACACCGAGACAGACTGGCCTGGGAGTGTGGGTGGCAGAGGTGGCTCAGCACAGGGGCCGCGGGGGCTGGCTGCTCACCGTCTTGGCCTGGGGCTCTTGCAGTGGCCAGGCCGGGCATCCAGTCTCAGCCCCCCTGCCCCCCCCCCGGCAGTGCAGCAGGGGAAGTGCCCACAACCCAGCCCTTGATTGCAGCAGGGTTCAGGTGGTCCTTCCAGGTGTAAACCCCTGTTGTGAGGGGTGGGGAGAGCGTAGGCAGCGTGCTCAGGTGCTGGCATCCTTGTCGGTTCAGGCTCAGACGGCCAGTGGCTGCTGCGTGCCTGGCTGGGGTGCGCCCAACCGCCCGTACCCATTCCCAGCTGGGAAACAAAGTGCCCTGGTGATGGTGCAGCCTGGCTGCAGGCCTCCCGGGTGCTCTGCCCAGACCCAGCCCATGGCGGGGGGCTGTACCCAGCAGAAGACACCAGTGACAACTGCACCCACCCTCCTCCCCTCCCCTCCCGGTGCTCCTTTCCCCTCGTGCTGGAGGACCCAGCCCTTGCTGAAGGAGGGAATTTCCAGTCCCCGCTTGCTGCAGCCCTGAGATATGAGTCTCACTCCGGTTTTGGTTTTCTACATTTAAACAGCGAGGTGGATGCTTCCTGCACTGACTCCCCCCGCACGCTGCGGCCCTGCCCCGCGGCACAGACTGGAGCGGGGCACCGGGGTCTTCTGCAGTTGTCCGAAGGGGTCTGCAAGCCCCAGGCAGGATCCCTGAGTGTCTCGCACCCTTTGCGGCTTGCAGATCTGTAATGTCCATTTGCAGCCGGCCGGTGCGTGGTGCTGCAGCATCCTCTGCTGGCTGCTCAGAGAGCACCAGGCCAGGAATCACCGGTCCTCACCCCAGCAGGCACCCTGCTTCGCCTGGCATCCCTGCTGTCTTGCCCCCAAGCTGCCAATCCCCTTTGCTTGGCATCCCAGCCTTCACGGGGCATGGTCTGCCTGTCTAACATCTGGGGTAGGCACCTTCGGAGGCTTCTAGCAGGGACAAGAGCCCGTGTCCCCTGCTAGGCTTGGTGTCCTTGACCTCACCCAGGCAGGAGAGATGGTTGGGGTAGAATTTGCACTCAGGACCTGGAAGTAGGGGAGAGGTTTCTTGCTGGACAGTGCATCTGACCACGCAGCAGCCACCTCCTCCCCTGGCGTGATGCCTGAGCCTTGGTGCTCTGCCCAGAGCGGCTTCGCACGCGACAGGCCCCCGGCAGGGCCGAGCAGGGCGGAAAGGGCCAGGCCCCCATGCCGGAGCGTGCCGTGCTGCACTTCAAATCGGAGAGGGAAGCTCACAGAGGAAACAGCCTTCAATTGCATTGGCCTGAAGGCAAGAAGTATCCATGCAACCTGCTTCCTCTTGCTTCAGGAAGTGGCCGCAGATAGCTTTGTGCTCCTCGGCAGCCCTGCGTAGCCCGGGGCCCGGCGGCAGCACAGCGGGGTCCCCTCCCAGACCACGGCCATGGGCACGTCGGCTCCCGGACCCGGCTGGTGTGTGCTGGTGCTGGTGCTTCTCCTGGACACCTGCGGTGAGTGCGGGACTCAGAGCCCGGCTGGGCACCGACGGAGGCGTCTGGATCCCGGCCGGCGGG